AAAAAGAAAGAAGAGAGAGAGAGGAGGAGGAGAGAGAGAGAGAGAGAGAGAGAGAGGTCGGCCGCATCATCTGCCATTAGACGCGATGCAATCTGTCGCGTTTAGTTTAGTAGAAAGAGGCGAGACCTTGTGTGTACAGGAGGCACGGGGTATCGATGCACGGTTGGTGCGAGAAAGTTAGTCAAAGGTGAGAAAAGAGACGGATCGATGCATAGAGGGTGGTCGAAACATCGAGGGGTTGGAGGATAGGATATACTCGTATCGGGGAGAGGATAGACAGAGAGGACGACGTGCTTCTGTTCCGATTTGCGCGCGAGATATCGCGCCGACCTTCTGATGTATCTGCAGAATCTGTCCTCTATCCATTAAATCGAGACTCATCCCGACCGCCATCCCAACACGCTCCCTTATCAAACGCCACTGTTACGATCCCATCCCCTATACCACGTCTACGTATACGTGTCAACAAGGAATTTCGTGTTTCCGGGTTGAAAATTACGCTCCGGAGAATCCGATCTCGAAAATGAAACGAACCTTTAGCTCGATCAATTTTCCTATTCGCCATCGGAAATTTATCGACGCTGAATAGCGGGAAGATAATAGGAATCGAGAGATAATACCGACAGATATTTTTTCCCGAGGAGTGAAAAAGAATCGGGAAATCAAATTGGTATTTCTCGCACACCTTATTTTTCACACACCTGCGGCGCGGTGAACGAAACATTAACGCGTTTCTTAAAAATATCAGCGGGAAGCCCTTCGTTACCTTTCAAGAAAGGTGTCGAAAAGAATCTCGTCGAGCAGCGGGGGTTGTATACAAACAAGTATTTAGCAGCGTTTAATGGGAATTATCCGGGGCGGAGGTGTGACAATTAGGGAAGGATTATTAACACCTGGAGTCGGCATCACGCTGTTTCCACGAGTCGCTCTCGCTACTCGCCCAAGTTAGACGAAAACTTTCTCCCGTCGACGACCATAGAGGGTCGTCGTGTAGCAAAAGTAACCCTCCACGTTTCCACTCGTTCTACCGCGATTCCGGTTTCTCGACCCGGTCCATCCGAAAAAAGGAAAACACCGCGTTAAATCCACGCAACCGTGAAATCGTTTGAAAACTTCGGAACCTTTATAACTCCTCGCGCCAGATTAATCGACGTTCACGAGAGAAATTTCGCGTCACTTCGATCCTGCATCTTCCTCGTCTTTTTCGTCACTCGAGAAGAAATCGAAGAAATGATTCAAACAGGGAATTTCCGATCCCGATAAAATCGAATATCGAGATAACGATCGTATATTTAAATATATATATACACGTGGATTTCGTCGAAATTGTCGAAATTCGTAGGTGGAGCGTGGAACGGATCGAATCAACGAAGGCAAACAAATTATTTTCGAGCGAGGGAAAACGGGCGCGAAAATCCCTTGGCGCTGTACGATATAACAACGAGCACTCATCCCCCGTGTGTCCTGTGTTTTGGGACACACACGCCTCTCCCTCCCCCCCTCATCCCCCACCCCCGCCCCCGTCCACCCTCCGCCATTACTTCCCCCATTAATATCCCCGTAATTGGTTAAAACCCGTAACTGATGAGCGAACTGTAAGTTATTATGCAAAGAGACCCTCGGTTCTCGCGAGGACGATGGGGGTTTATGGGATACGGTTCAACACCTCTTCATTACCCTCTTCATCCCTCGATAGATCGTCGGTGTGTAGATATCGGTGTGTAGAGAGCGGCATTACACGATGCCCGGCCCGGTTGTGTCATTGTGTCACGGATCGCCGATGCACGCCTGGCTCGTTACGGGGTTCATGAAAGAATCCAGTCGACTGGATTTACACGCTTCGAAATACCGCATCGAGCAGCAGAATTTTCGTTCGTTCGTTCGTTCGTTCGTCCGACTACATCCGTGTTTGACAAGAGGAGGGAAGGAGAGATTGGGGAGGGGAGGAGAAAATATGGATCATCTCCGTGGAAACATTTTCGCAGATTGTCGCGAAATATCGAAGGATTTAAACAACTCGTTTCGGCTTCAAAATTCACGCTCGCAAACTCTCGCCTCTCTCAGGGAATATACGAATATATAGAGATAATTTACTAAAAAAAAAGATTCGCATCACAGAGTGGGAAGAAACGACGAATGGAAGGAATGGTTATTTTTTTTTTTTTTTCTTTGATTCCCTGGTTACACTTCGATTCCATCGTTGAACTTTCGAACCTCCCTAAAAAGCTAGATGGGTGCCCCGTCTAATTACGCGGTATCAGGTGTCACAGACGGGGAATCGATGCTCTCTCTCTCTCTCTTTTCCTCCGATCATTGTGTTCCAGTCGATCGTTATACACGGTTCGACGCCTACGTAAAACGCCGTAGGGGGACGCGCGTCACGGAGAGCTAGTCGCGCTCGATTCATCCCGAATCGCTCGACTCGAGCCGGTCGACTAAACGGAATACTTAGCGGAATACTTGGAATGGTCGAGGGTGGGTTGGAAAGAAAGAGGTGGTGAAAGAGATCGACGAACCGTTGTTCCCTCCGCTGTATATCTATTTTAGCTTAACCGACACCGTTTCCTTTTGTTATCACGTGTCACGCAGCTTCCACAGATCCTTTCACGCGATAACAAAGGATCGATCTCGCAGTTCGCGTGTCCATTTCATCGACACGTTCAATGAAATTCGAAAAAAAAGGAAAAAGGAAAAAAGAGGAGAGAGAGAGAGAGAGAGAGAGAAGAAAGAAAATAAAGAATAGACGCGAAATTTGCAGCGAACAAGCTTCTCGGTTATTTTAATTAATCTATCCTCTTCATGATTTCGATTGAAGAGGGTTAGGAGGTGGAGGGGAAGGGAAAAAACACATTCGCGAACGCGAAACGTCCGTTTCGATCTCTCGTTTCGTTTCTCTCTGTTCTCCACGGTGGTGTGGAGTTACTCTCCCCGTGGTTCCGGCTAATGGAAAAATTCCATCCAGAGTAATCGCGGCAGATCATCGTCGTGCAAAAGGTTCGTCTGGCGAGCTAACGAGGAACCGAGCGCGTTATAATGACGTGCTCCTGGCCTGTTGGCTCGAGTTTCCAGAAACGAGCTGGATATCATGATAATCAAAGTTTATTGTGTCATAACACGGACGAGGGAAATAAATTGGATTGCAAGTTGCACACACACACACACATACACACACAGTTAGATAGGGATAAGTGTCGCGACACGAAGAAAGTTCAAACAGTTGTATAACGGTTTATATAGATTGGTGAAACTGGTTGAAGAAAGTGGTTGAGTGCAAATTCTTGCGTGCGATCTAACGAGCGTCAAAGAGAAGGAAAGAGAGGCGAGAGGGACGCGACGTTTGGTATTATAATGACGGCCCTCTTCGAGCCACGGCAGCAAATGTGAAGAGTTCCATTTCTCGACACCTTCGTGATTCTCGATTCTTGCTCGAGCGGAGTGCCATCGATTCGCCCATCCCCCTCTCCTCCTTCCCGCTACTCCTCTGCTTCTCCTCCATCGCTCTCTATCCTATCTATCCTTGTACTTGTTCCTTCCTTCGTTGTACACAGCTATCTTTCTTCTCGTTATATCGCTCTATCTATCGTTCGAAACGAAAAAAGGAATAGGGCCAAAAAACGATTCATAATTGATTCGATCGAACCAAGCTGAGATTGATTCCTCGACGAAATGG